AAAGGCCAAGGCCATCATACTCGAGGACTAACCTTTCGAACAAGTTCGAAACGTTATCGGGAAATAAGTCCAAGAGGCATGCCTGAAGGCTACGGCCGTACTAAAGGCTACGACCATATTAAAGGCTACGACCATATTAAAGACTACAATCATATAAAAGGTTACGACCGAAATAATGCGGCTCGGAGACGTCTGACTTCAGCCATAAGTTAAAGGCCTTCAAATACTTTGAAAAACTGGTTAAATTAGGCTACCCTCGGCAAAAGCAAATAAAAAAGGGCTTCGATAAAATCAGCCCTCAAACAATTTAAAGGCTTCGATAACATCAGCCTTCGAAAAGCCTCAAGAGGTATACAATAATCATAACACGAACGGATTACAAATGGGGTTCCGATTGATCGAACCCTCGAAAAACCCAACGAGTACAAAAACACATGCTAAGGCATAAAGTAATTTTCACTAAGTCTTTCAGCCGAAAAGAGGGAAAAATTATAGCCGTCTTAGAGGCCGAATTGGCCCAACTTAAAGAGCCTAAGGGCCGACCTAAAAGAGCCTAAGGGCCAATATAAAAGAGCCTTAGGGCCGAAGCATACAGAGTCCGAGACCTTACTTTCACTCAACTCGGACTCAAGAATCCCATCATCCCGAGCTCGTATCAAATCGACTTAAACATAGCTCGAGGGTTAACAAAAACCTTAAGAGATATTCTATTATAAGTTCGAAGATTGCCCATTGATCACTAAAAATTTAAGGGTTTGTTATATTCTGAGCCCGAGCCAGTGCTCGCTTGATCATTAGAATTATAACATCAAAACTTTTCACAAATGAAGACGAAGCAGAATTCAATCGGAGATGAAGCAAAGGGAATTCTTTATATTTAAAAAGGGTATTTACAATGCCCATAAAGGGACTTATACAAAAAACAAGAACAAAAAGAACCTAATCTACTTTGGGAGCTGCACCCTCGGGAACCACATCCTTGGGAGTCGTACCCTCAGAAGTTGCACCTTTAGGAGCCACACCTTTAATAGCCGCTTCTTCGAGATTTTCCTCCTCGGGGAATCCATCTTCATCTCCCTCGCTCTCAGAACCACTAACAACATCTTCATCATCGGAAGAGACGAGAAACCTGGCATCGGTTTCCAGCACCTTTGCTTTGGCTATCTCTTCAATGAGGTCGAAACCTCGCGCATGGATTTCTTCGAGGGTCTCTCTCGGGGATTGGCACTTGGCCAAATCATTACTCCGTTTTTCCCGATCAGAGGCCTTCCTTAGCTCTACTTGAACAGCCTCAGCATCCCTTAAGTACACGGCGATAGTTTTATCAGTCGTGGCCTTCGTCCTCTCTAGTTTGGCCCTGGCTTTAGCAACCTCGGCCCCAGCTTCAGCAAGTTTGGCCTCGAGTTCCCCGATCTTCTTGGCCTGGGCCAGATTTTTCACTTTAATACCTCAGAGCTAAGTTTCAGCCAAGGCCAGTTAGGCTAGAGCAACCACTTTATCACTAGCAAGCCGATCTATGTTCTCCTTCCATCGGTGGCAGTCAGCCTTAACCTGATCAACCTCGCCCCGGAGCTGCCCGATCACCTCCAACTTTTGCTGCAGCTGAGACATTGAAGTATTAGCCTCCACAGTATGGCCAAGAAGACCATACTCTTTCAAAATCACGGTTACCTGCTTATCTAGATCGGTCTCGTTTTTGGGAGCTTTGGACAAATCAACCCGGAGGTCCTTGAGCTCCTCCTCCTTTTGGCTACAAAGGAGCCTCATGGCCTTCTCCTCATCCGAAGACTTCCTGAGCTCGGCCTCACATTGACTCAGCTTGGCCCTGAACTTGATGATGGCCTACATAAAAAATAAAGAGATATCAGTCAAGAGAAGGGAAGACGAAAAAGTTATAACAAATAAAAGTTATTGTTTACCCTAGAGAAGAGACGACGAGCCTTTCGAAGAGGGTGGATGCGTCATTAAGGTCAGCGGCATCATCGACCCCAGCGAAAAAATCCTGAAAAGGATCTTCTTCAAGGACCTTGCTCGGGTCGGGCGTTTGCAATGCTTGAGCGTTCTTTATCGCCTCCTCAGAGTAAGATGGTATAGAAGGGGAGTGACCTATTGTCACGGCTCCGAGCTCCTCACTCGGGGCGCTCTGATTAGCTTTGGGGTTCTCGGCACTTATCCCCTCCGGTGTACTTGTTGAATGCGGGGGAATGATCTCGACCTTAGAGGACTTGAGGGCTTTGCCCGAGTCTTGCTTCGGAGTTCCCTCACCACGAGGCAAGGTCTCTAGTTCGGAGGGCTTGGCGGCCTCGACCGGTTTCCTAGTTCGATGCACCAGCGCCGATTCTTTGCCCTCACTTTCTTCATCGTCCAGAAGTTGGAGGGCCGAATATACATCCACATGAATCAGTTTCCTCCTTGGCTTCCGAGTAGGGGCCCTCTTATCCTGGGAGTCTTCAGGCTCTGAAGCCCTTTTTCTCTTGTTGTCTTTCCCAATTTTGGAATCGGGGACTCGGTCTCTTTCCCAGGCGGGGATGTCCTCATTCAAAGACATCTCCAATACCTACATAGACAAGCGTAAGTGTGGAAAATATCTCCAGTAAAAGGAAAGCATCAGAAAACCTGGGAGAAGAACTAACCGTGGTGCTTGGCCTCCCATTTGCCCCTCGATAAGTCACGCCATTTGCGCTCATCATACGAGGAGGTTGCAGCTAATCTTCGGACCCAGTCCTCGAGGTCGGGGATCGCATGGCGCATCCAAGCAACAACTGCAAAAAAGGTAAAGGCAATATGAAACTTAGAAGCGGAATATGAGAGGGTATTTGGAAAAGGACTTCACTTACGTTTGAAGTTCCATTTCTCCGGGAATGGCATTTTTCCCCTAGGGATGATGTCCCAGGTCCTCACTCTGACGAACCGACTCATCCAGCCTCGGTCTTTATCCTCGTCGTTACTAGAAAAGAAAGCTTTTTTTGATCGATGTTGAAGCTTGATCAGCCCTCGAAACAGTTGAGGCCGATACAACCGAATGAGATTGTTGAGGGTAAACTCAAATCCCTCGGCCTTGCTGGAGAAGTAGCGCAACATAATCACAATGCGCCAAAAGGAGGGATGGATCTGGCCGAGGGTAACCTCGTACCTTTTACAAAAGTCAATCACTACTGGATCAAGGGGACCCAGTGTGAAGGGGTAAGTGTAAACACTTAAGAACCCCTCTACGTGAGTAGATCTCCTCGGGGTCGGGGATCTGTACCACGACCTTCTTCATGGCCTTGAGATACTTCTTCGATATTGAGCTAATGTATCGAGATACATGTTCACATCGGCCTGGGATATTAGGGGGATTTTCAATGTTGAAATCTTTCTTTATCACACAAGGGCCGGGAATGATCTCGTGAAGGGCCGGCGCTGCAAGTTTGGCCGGCCAGGAAGAGGAAGAAGAAGCCTTCTCTTTTTTAGGAACTGTTTTAGAGATTTTTGCCATGATTTCAAGTTAAAAGATGCGGAAGGTGGCGGAGCTTGGCGTTTTCCGGCACTTAAAGGGCGACGGAAGCAGGAGGTGAGAGAAAGAGATGAAGAGAAGAAGGGATCAGAGAGAATGCAATAAAGAAGTAAAGTTCTTAATTCAAAAGAGGAGTCCCGTATTTATAGATAAGCGGTGATGGTTCGGCGGCGCTAATGGCCGACCATTACTGGCACGCATTTAATGTTTTGAGAAAGCGAACCGACGGGATGTTTCGGTCACTTCGAGCGCCTACATCACGGGAATGGCGTCATCATCGGAAACTCCGGAAAATTGCGGTTCAAATCGTTTCTTATCATTTTACTCTAAGAAACACGGGGACTATCTGTATTCGGTAGAATCGGGAGCCCTCAATTTTGTGGATTCGAGGGTTCATATCGAGGAACAGAAGACTCGCGTCGAGGAATAGACTTACTATAGACCGAGTTCGAGCCTGAGGACGGAGTACGAGGCTCGAAGAACTAAGTATTCGAGGAACATCGGAGCCTAATATGACCAGCCACGAGATAATGCCGTTATGGATTTGTAACGGAATGAGCAAGATTCCTGCCACATCCCCAAAATCAAGGCGTAAATCCCGGAATAGATTTGTACGAATCCGTACTAGGCGGTTAGACAGTTGTCCCAATGCGATTCTTTACTGTAAATAGAAATGTACCTTATTTAGGGTTCCCTTATTATATAAAAGGGACACCCAATCATTTGTAAACACATTCAATCATTGGCAAAGAATTTACTCTCTCATTTTCTCGCTCATTGTTCATCAGAATTGTCTTTTAACTTCATTATTCTTGCTTTACTGTTCTTGATTCACCTCGAGGTCACCTTGGCTCGAGGTTGAGACTGGCTTACATACTGGTTTGATTCTACTTACTTCATTTGCACGCTAGCTTTCTTGGTTATTAATTAGTATTGAACTAAATCACATATCTTTAAACCATAAATCAAATTTAATTGTTACTCGTATTTTCGAGGTAAACACCATAACTAAGCTTTTCATTGGGTTGTACCAGATGTTTTGATATTATGCTTCGTTTTCACATTTTTATCTATACTAGTCTCGACAGCACGTGTATGCCGAGTTATGTATACACAATTTTGTAAATTAATATCAATGTTACTAAGATAGAGATTTGAGAGAAAAATTATACATCAAAGAATAAGTATAAGTTTGGGTATATAATCAACGTGTATCATCACTTGATTTTACATATTTAGTAGTATTCCATCTTGTCTATTTTTACGATCTCAGTATGAGTTAGTTTGGTGGGTTTGCTTAATGGGTACTGACTTATTAGATACCTTGTGAGGACCTAATTCCAGATTTGGATCATAACATTTAAAAAACTGACAATAAATGTAACCGTGATCCATGACAAGAATAAAAAATAAAGAAAGGAAAGAAAAAGAAAATACAAACAGAGGTGGAGGAATTATGGGGGAAAAACCCTGGCAGCAGTTGAAAGTGCCCGCATTTAACTTAGCGACTGCCAGCTAATAATAAAACTACGCTCTAATTACATTCATACCGCAAGACATACAGCTAATTATACTCTTGCACTTTGCCAATTCCACATCTCACCCTCTCTCTCTCTCACACACACACACAGACACAGATTACAAACACTTTTCTTTTTTTGCATTTTTCAAATGGAGAAAGGACAAATTCAGAGTTAGCTTAGTTGAATGCTACATTTTGTGCTGTAATCCCATGTGTCTATAGCATCCACTTCGAAACATCTCCATCACATAGCAATTGATGTCGGCGATCTACAGTCCATCTCGGAGCCCAGCCAGCTCCAGGTTGCCTTTGGGAGGCGGAGGAGCTTCCAGATTGAGATCTTCTTCGCTTAAGAAGCCACCTGAGCCACTTCGCAGAGCTGTCGCTGATTGTCTCTCTTCTTCTTCTCCTGCTCACCATGGGACCCCCTCCGCCACTGCCTCCGAAGCTTCTCGAACGCTTCGGGTCAGACTTTCGATTCTCTTTTTACACTATTGAATCTAGGGTTTACTACACTAGTTTTGATTCCTATTTTTTGATAAAATTGAAGGTTTAGTACCTGCATTTTTATTTAAAGCTCGAGTTTCCCTTTTACGTTTGCTGATGTAATGAGTAGTTGCGTCATAATCTAGGAAATTGGGTGTGGAATGTCTAGGACTTTTGGGTTTATGATGTTGTTAAGTGTAATATAGTCATTTAGTTAGCATGTTTTTAAGATAGGGGATTCAGCTGCAGTCTTTCTGGGTATTGGAAAAGGAGACAAACAAACACAAAAACTTGTAAGCTGCAAAAGATCAAAAGAGCAAGTGTGAGGTTTGGATGCTAGCTTTATTTTGAAAAGTTTTAACTAATTTCGCCAATTTGACTAATAATTTTGTAAGCAAAAAGAACCGTTCCCAACTTATTGGATTAACAAATACATGAAGATAATCTTGTCATGACATGCAATCTGTGTGTTCAGACTGATATAGAAACTCTTGCCATGACGGCAAATATTGAAACAGTTTCTTAGTTGAAATGCATCTATTTTATTTCATACTCAATTGAAGACTTTGCAGTTACCCTAAAACTTAGAAGCTATCATATTTGGGCATTCTATAAGCCTATATGGTCAAAGGTTTTTCGTGTCGGAATTTTGAGGATAATCCCTCCTTATATGTTGTCCCATCCAATTCCTGACATGCTATTTATGTTTCATAGTTGTGCTTTTATTTAGTAACTGAATTAATGGGACTCGAACTAGTTAAAAGGTAAGTGCTACATTTTTACAAGTGAACTATCACAGTATGAAATTTAATGTTGGAATGAATAATAGTTGAATGATCACATATGCTGTTTTTCTTGCCACAAACCTTAACAAGAAAAGTAAATAACTTGTCTTAGCAGGGGATTTCTTCTTCTTAATAGGAGTCATTTAAATTGAAACTTAAGTGGTTACTGGATTATGGTGTACTAGCTCTTTTAGCATAATTGCTTTGGTAAAGATGCACACTGTTTGGCATATGTCCTTCTATATCATGGTAGTCATGTAGTATGGATTCATTCAAATCCTATTGACCAGCACTTGATGTTTCTAAAATTACAACATCAGATGAGATATTGCATTCATTATATGAGCTTATCTTTTTACAGGAATATCTGGCAGCATATCCAACCACTGACTTGGCTTATGTTATTATTTTGGATCATACAATAGCAGAGCGCGAACGCAGGTATACAATACTTTGTTGATAGATGCAATGGTACACTAACATGCCTACGTAGTTCAGAGCAGTATACTTCTGTATCTGTCTTATGCTGCCATAACTATGCTGAATTTTTTCTGTGCTGAATTTCAAATTTGAGCTAATTGCCATTCTTTTGATTATAAAGTTATCAAGGGACAAGGATTATCTAATTCTTTTCGTGTAGATTTAGAACTGATTATAAGAGGCTTCTGATGAGTGTTTCTTTTTATGTCTTATCTTCTAGTATGATAGCATGTATATGAGCACTTGTTGAGCTGAAGTTAAATCAGTAAAAATCCTTTCTCATGAGAAATATGTAAAGAATGCAACATGTACCATGCAACTTTGATTGGCACTGTGGGACAAATGATGTCAAATTTTTGTAAGGGAAAAGTAGGACTTTTAATAGGCTAAGTTAATGCAATATTATAGGCAAATTCCCATAAACAAAAAATGAAATTGCACAAGCTCATAAGTTGATGCGTGCGTCTAGTTATCCACTAAATGCATGCCTGATGTCCTCTCTTGCAGGAAGAAAAACAGAAACATTACCCTCTCGTGGCGTGCCTAAAAAGCATATTATGTTAAGAATTTAAATGCATTTCCATTAGTAGCTTTTGCGATTTGATCCAAAGCCTAGAAAAGCATTCCCAGTAAAAAGGATTTAGGAGTATCTGCCCTTTCTGGACTGGATTTTGATAGTATCTTAATTCTGAGTGTGAAATGGTGATATTCTTCAATCGAACTGCGTTACCCTGTATTTTATTTTGTTCATTTTGATAAGCGTCATTGCACTATATTGTTTAGTTCAAAATTGCTACGCGTTTCTATTACTACCTGATTTACAACCTACATGGCTTATGAATCTTAAAACACAGTAACATTGACCTCGCACAATATGTTTTTGGTGTCATACTAATTTCCAACTCTTCTTCCGTAGAAGTCTTTAGTTTTTAAAAGATGAAGGTCACAGACAAGTTGTCAAAGTTGATCACCATCTATTTAGAAGGTATTTGGCCGAATCTAATAACTACTTCCTTTAGTGTTTGATTTTTAATCCAAGTTAATATTTTGAGTTACCACGGCTGAACATCGTAAACCTGAACATACAACCAAATATACCCAAATCGGTATGGAATATGAGCAGTTTCATTACCGTTGAAATTACTATGCTTTTCTATTACTGCCTGATTTACAACCTACATGGGCTATGAAACTTAGTTAATACAATAATATTGACTGAGCACAATATGTTTTTGGTGTCATACTAATTTCCAATCCTATTTCCATAGCAGTCTTTAGTTTTTAAAAGATGGAGGTCACAAACAAGTTGTGAAAGTTGATCACCATCAATTTAGAGGAATTTGACCTAATATAATAAGAACTACTTCCTTTAGTGTTTGGTTTTTAATCCAAGTCAATATTTTGAGTTACCACGGATGGACATCATAATCCTGAAGCATACAACCAAATATACCCAAATTGGTATGGAATATGATCAGGTTCATTATCATTATCTTCCTAACTGCTGAAGGACTAAAGAAAATCGCCTCTTTAAAAGGTGAAGTATTTGATGTTATCTAAAAATATTTAAGACTACTATTTAAAAAGTCTACTTCCAAGGAAAAGAACTATCTAGAAGCCTACGGACGTGGAAAGATAATCATTAAAAGTGATATAATTTTAAATGGTATCATATAGCCTTTTCCATAAGATAATTTGTGATCGGCATAGGATCTATTAGGGGTGGGCATAAAATCCGAAAAACCGAATTCCGAACCGGACCGAATTAATTCGGTATTTCAGTTTTGGTTTTTTCGGTATTTCGGTCTAATTCGGTATTGCAATTTCGGTATTTCGGTACGGTCCTCGGTATTAGAATTTTGAAATTTCGGTATACCGAAATACCGAAATACCGATTTTTTAAAGACATTTTCTATTTTTCATACTGCCCAGCCCCAGCTCCAACGCCCAAGCCCAAAGCCCCAAACCTTTTTTGATTTAATTTCCAGTGCCCCAGCCGAACTGCCAAGCCCACTCTAAACCTTTTTTGACTTAGGTTTTTATAACATAGACTCTACGTATATAATATCTCATTAAGTATAACGTATACTCCTATCAGTTTCATTTGAATAATCAGAAGGAATAAAGCAAAGGTACAATAGAGATGGAAGAGATTATCTGTCTATTTACAAGGTTGGGGAGCCTGAGAATTTTCTTCATATAGACTAAATATTAAGTTCAATTAATTGAGGATAACAAATTACGTTCCCTTATCTCATGGTTAAACGTTCCTAATAATTGGGTTGAAATTCCTCTACGTTTAATCAGAAAGAATGAAGAATCTTTCGATAGAGCTGTTTATCTCATAGTAAGTTTACTTGACATGAATTTAAATTAATGAAAATAGTAAACTTCAAATAAAGAATGATTAAAGATAAAAAAAAATTTGTATTAAATTAGCAAAAAATATCTGTCAAGTAATTTGTCAGACGTTTTTCACTAGTTTATTCGACAACCATCCAAATTCACTTGATACAAATGTGCACTGTTGCTTACTGCTGAGTATTGAATTTAGGGATTATTGTCACTCGTTAGCATTGCTTATTTAGCGATTATTAAACCGAAACCGTACCGAAACCATACCGAACCAAAATAAGAAATACCGAACCGTACCAAAATACTTTGGTACGGTATTTGGTATACACAATTGATAAACCGAATACCGAAATACTGAACCGAAATTCTTAAATACCGAACCGAAATACCGAATGCCCACCCCTAGGATCTATAAGCCAAAGTAGTAAGAAAAAATAGTGGACGAAAGGTATTTAATGTATATTGAAGTGGAGGCTAAGGTTTATAGTGTTATTTCTCCATTCGAGACTATATTGTGTTAATATAATATTTTTTTGTTAATTATCTCTTGTTTCTGTAGTTAATTCTCTATATTGGTATAATTTTTTATTTTTTCCAATATGCCCTTCAGAAATGCAGGGTAAAGTTTGCATGTGCTTTGATTTCTGTACTAGGAATATTTTTGTACTTGTCAAGGAACAAGACTTTCTTCCTAACACGGTAAAACACAGTAATTCGTAAATGTTTTAGTTAGGAAAGTTAGCAGCCCAGTTGATGGGAAGCATCTCGTATCCTAAACCTTGATGTAATGTAAGGCCCACTAATTCAAATTTGGTGCTTGCAAGATAGCTTGATAGGATACTGGATAATTGGATGTTATTCCTCTTTTTATATGTGAAATCTAACCTTCTTGATACATCTATTATGTGAAAGTACTTCACAATCAAGGAGTCATTGCGTATTTAGTTGCTTAATCACAAACTAAAAAGTTCGTAAGAAGTGCAACATCTCCGATCATAAAGTAATTCACTATGGAAGTTGCTAGATGTTTTTCTCTTAGATGTAAAGAAAGATAATTTTTTTGATAAAAGCTCTACATAGGCGAACAAGGAAAAATATTTTTCTGCAAAAAAGATTACTACCATAAACTTAAAATATAGGTAAAAGCTTATACATATACGATATTTTTCTGTGAAGAAGGAAAATAAGAAAAATAATCAATCAGTAAGAAATGTATTGTTTATGTTATTGCTTTCTGTATGTATATACATGAGAATCATTAGTATTTGTAGCTTACTGCAAAAAGTATCTGCTGGATCCTAGTTCACGCTATACTTAAATATCATGGCAGTTTGCTGATGCTCTCCTTTGCTCTTTTAGTGTGAAGAAATATTGTTACAGCTGAAGCTAGGAAGAAAAAGATCATTAATAGTTTATTGTAGCAGCAATTTTCTTCTGTAATTTTGAACTGTTCTGTAGGCATTGTACTTCTGAAACTACATTTCTCCCCTCTTGATAATTTATTCTGCTTTATTGCCTATTGGATGTTCACATTTCCTATAACCATTACTTTGTACTCTGTCCAACTTATGTCCTTTTTTTCCCTTTTTAATTTTGAATCAGCCCAGCAGTTGTAGCAAAATGTGTGGCGCTGTTGAAACGGTATCTCTTAAGGTAGTTTTGTCCGGTAACTTATATTTCTTCCTTTCCCATTGAAAATCCAAGGTTCATTTCTCACTGGACCACTGGCATTTAGCTTATTGAGATTGTCATTATTATACATTTTATAACAGCTTTCTTTTTTTATCAGTATTTTGTGACAGCTTTCTGTTCCCACCCTTGAATTCATCATACTCAATTTGCATGAACCTGATATTGCTTTCCTTCTTTACCATCTATTGATGTTTGATACTGTAAGATCTAAGATCTGTGACAGTTGTAGAAACCTCATTAATGTTAAAAGACAAGTTTTTATTAGAATTTATTGCAGTATTTGTAGAATGAGTAAGTTGATCCAGCATTCACTCACAAACTGTTAAAAAGTAATTCCAATGGAGTTGATACCAAGTTTGTCACGCTCCAAACCTGAAGAGGCGTGGCCGCATCCGGTGCCATACTCGGCCTGAGCGTACCACTCTGTAACTGTGAACTCTGGAGGGGTAACCCTTAACTTTGGCCGATGAGGTCATATTCTGAATCATCTGAAAATATCACCTCTCTCATCTGAGGGGTAAACATACCCAAAAGCTCATATATATATAACTGTGCAGGCTGACGAGGCTGTCATGAACATCTACTGATATACAAACTATACAAGTTTGAGTTGGTAGGTCTACTGTTACCATCCTCAGAAAAAAAACTTGAAAGAAATCATTTTTTATGATCAATCATTATCGTAGGAATTTGACAAGGTCAAACGAGAACATACAAAAAGCAAATAAATTATTTTAGGTTAAGAGAGCATTTTGTAAACAAACAAACTCTTCATAAATTACCAAGTTCTAGTTTCAATTCTTGTAGGGAAGAACGTACAAGCTTCCTCCATTTAACATCAATTTGTTTGGCAAAATTTGGCATGAAGATTTTAGAATAAGCATGTTGATCCTTCATTTACTAAGTTTTTAAAGTTTCACCTTTGTTTCATTCTATATGACAGTATTTAATAAGGAACATAGTTTAAATTTTTTTTTGATGAAATAATTGGCTTCATTGATGTCATCAAGAAGATGCAAAATATTACAAGAAGCAGAAGCATAGAAGCTTCAAAAAGCAAAAAAGACTACATATATGCTAACTTAGATACAAAGAGCTAACAAAGTTCACAAATGTTTCGGGGGAATCTACAGGGGAAATATTTGCCCAGCTAAATAAAAACAAAAGGCATTTAGCTTTTAGGGTGTGGTTAGGAGTTAAAAGTCCATCAAAGCATCTTCTATTTCTTTCATTCCATATGCTCCAACAAATACAAGCAGGTATCATTTTCCAGATATTCTTGATGGTCTTATCAACTTTCCAGCTGCCCCAGCTCTGAAATGCCTCTTTCATGTTGTGAGGCATAACCTAACTAATACCAAAAACAGAGCAAAACATGCTCCAAATATCTGCTGCAACTCTACAATGTAGGAATAGGTGGTTGTTGGTTTCTGCATCCCTTTGACACATGTTGCATCTATTAACTAACTGGAAGTTCCTTTTAACAAGGTTCTCCTGAGTCAAACATGCCTCATAAAGTGCAGTCCAGCTGAAGCAGACACCTTGGGTGGTAGTCTGGTTCTCCATATTAATTTCCATGGCCACAGATCAGTAATTCCATTTCTAGCCATTATTAACCTGTACCCTGCCTTCACAGAATACCTACCATCACTTGCTCCCCCCCCCTCCCCCCCCACATCTGAACTTATCTGTGATGTGCTCATTTAGTGTGACGCCATGTAGTACCTCTAGCAGTCGAACATAATCAGAAACCTCCCAGTCCTGCAAATTCCTTCTTAGAGTAACATTCAAAATGGGGCCATCCTTATTTTGAATGATTGTAGAGTCGGGATCACGTGCAATCTGAAACAGGTTAGGAAAATCAGTCCTTAGGGCTGAATTCCCAAACCAGTTATCCTTCCAAAATTTGATTTGTTGCCCATTCCCAAATGTAAGGTGGTGGTGTTCAGAGAATTCCTCCCACAATCTGCGTATGCACTTCCACACTCCCACCCCATGGGGTGCTCTTGTGAGTTTAGTACACCAATTGCCTTGAGTTCCGTGCTTAGCATTGACCACCATCTTCCACAAGGTTGCTCCTCTTGTGTGTACCTCCAAAGCCACTTCATCCGTAGGCATTTGTTGTGAATTGCGAGGTCCTTGATTCCCAATCCTCCTTGGTGTTTTGGGAGGATGACCTTTTTCCACTTCACCAAGTGAAACTTATGCTCAGCGCTATTCCCTTCCCAAAGGAAATTTCTCCTTATCCTGTCCAACTGATTTAACACTTTGTTAGGCATATGATGTAGTGACATGTAGTATGTGGGAATGTTGTCTAGGACACTATTGATTAATGTGAGTCTACCACCCATAGAAAGGTATTGCATCTGCCAGGAGGCTAATCTTCTCTCAAATTTCTCAATGACCCCGTTCCATATTGTTGAAGAGTTGTGCTTTGCTCCCAATGGTAGGCCCAGGTACGTGGTAGGAAGTGTGCCAATATTACAACCCAGAATTCCTGCTAGCTCCTCCAAATTATGAACTTCATTGATAGGATAGATCACACTCTTCAGCATATTGATATGTAAACCTGAAAGTGCTTCAAAAAGAAGAAGAGTTATATTTAGATGAAGCACCTGATCTCTGTCTGCACCACAGAAAATCAGAGTGTCATCAGCATATAGCAGATGAGAGATATTGATATTGCTCTCAACTCCCACATCAAATCCTCTTATCCATTGTAGTCATTTGGCCGTGTCTAACAATCTGCTTAACCCTTCCATAGCAAGTATGAATAGGAAGGGAGAGAGGGGATCTCCCTGCCTCAAACCTCTTTGTGGTGAGAAGAAACCAACTGGGCTTCTGTTGACTAGGACCGAATACTTGACCGTGGAGATATTAAATTTGATCCACTTGATCCACCTGCTGCCAAACCCCATCTGTCTGAGTATTGAAATAAGATAAACCCAATTTAATTGATCAAAGGCTTTCTCTATGTCCAACTTACATAGAATGCCTGATCCTCCCCTCTTTAGTTGCCAGTCCAGGACTTCATTAGCAATCAAAGAGAGCATCAGTGATCTGCCTATTCTTTATGAATGCATTTTGCTGATTTGAGACTAGCTTCTCCATCACTGACTTGAGCCTTTCTGCTAGAATTTTTGCTACAATTTTATAGATACTTCCAATGAGGCTAATTGGTCTGTAGTCTTTGAGTTCCATGGCTCCTTTTTTCTTAGGGATCAGAGCAATAAAGGAAGCATTGCATGACCTCACCATCCAACAATGATCATGATAATGATTTAGTGCTCCCATGATGTCTGCCTTAATAAAATCCCATGATTTGTGATAAAATGCCATTGTGTATCCATCAGGGCCAGGTGCCTTGTCGGGAGAACATGACTGTATAGCTGCTAGAACTTCCTCCTCCTCCTCCTCAAAGATTGCCTCTAGGTTGAGACTTTCTTCTTCTGTGATACTGACCATGCCTTCAAAGGTGAAAGTAGGTCTCCAGTCCTCATGCTTAGTGTAAAGCCCCTCATAGAAATCCAGTATCTCCTTTTTAATCTGCTCTTTGTCCTCAATAATTTCTTCTCCCACCTGAAGTCTGTCAATACTGTTGTACCTCCTATTGGAATTTGCAATCTTTTGGAAGTACTTGGTATTCCTATCCCCATCTTTAAGCCAAAGACACTTTGATTTTTGCCTCCAAGAGACCTCTTCTACACTTGCTAGCTGCTGCAATTCTGTTTTCAAAGTCATCATGTGAGTGATCTCTTGTTGTGTGAGATTCCTCCTCTCCTGTTCCTGTTCAAGTGCTAGGAGCTCGGTCAAAGCTCTAGTCTTTTTGGTTTCCAATTTCCCAAACTCTTCCTTGTTCCAGGTAGTAATATCTTTCTTTAAGGTTTTCAGCTTCTGCATGAGTATGAAATCTGCACTACCAGTGAAAGAATAGCTTTGCCACCACCCTTTCAATTTCTCCATAAACCCTTCTGATTGCAGCCACATATTTTCAAATTTGAAATATGAAGGGCTGGCATCCCAATCACCACTTTCCAGCATGATAGGTTTGTGATCAGAGATCACTCTAGGAAGTATTTGTTGCTTCACTGCGTTGAAGGATTCATTCCATTCAGGGGAGATGAGGAACCTATCAATTCTTGAAGCTTGAATGCAGTTCTCTCCTCTGGTCCAAGTGTAACAGGCTCCTTGAAGTGGCAAATCTATTAAACACAAGTCATGTATGGTTTCAGAGAATACTCTCATAGCCTTGGATCTCCTTGTGCAATTGAGTCTTTCCCTTTCAAATCTGCAAACGTTGAAATCCCCCCCAAGCACCCAGTGACCCTCCCATAGACCCCTTACACCTGCAATTTCATGCCACATGACCTCCCGTTCTAGGTTGGTATGAGGCCCATATATACCTGTAAAGCACCATCTGAACTCCTCCTGAGTACTCTCTAAAATGCAGGAGATGGAGAAGGAACCTTGCATATTCTCAATGTTATTCCAATGTCTTCTATCCCATACCACTATAATCCCACCCCTGTTACCGCTTGCTTTCAACTCAGCCCACTCTGCCCATCTATTTCCCTATAATTTGTAAACTTCACCTGTTGGCCAGTCTTCAATTTTGGTTTCTTGTAAAACACATGACATCAACCTTCCATTTACGAACCAGAGACTTGATGGTACTCCTTTTCCTACTGTCATTCGCCCCCTGCACATTCCAGCTTAGAATTTTTAATTTCATCCAGAAACAGAGCGGTAATGCCTGCCCTTAACCCCTTTTAACTGCTGTTTCTTTCGATCGTAATTTAACCCACATATTAGTGTCTTTCTTTCTCCTTCCCCTTTGCATTTACCCTCCTTCCCCGACTTAGATGGTGACTTTTGTTGTTGTAGTTGAGATTGCCTTCTCTGTTCCATCCTTAGAACTAGGCCCAACAATTCATGCTCGAAGCCCTGTGCATTGATCCCGA